GACAGAGATTTGTCCTGACTGTGGGCAAGGCAGGAAAACTCTAGCTACAAGAACACAAACAGCTGCATGAAATAAAGAAGTCAATATAAGATATAAAAATAGAATTTAATAAAGGGATAGAAAAATTGACAATCCAAATCAAAATGACAGAAATGAAAAACATAATGGGTCACATAAGACCTTCAGTGAAAAGCCTTACCAAAACAATGGATCACGTGAAGATAGATTATCAGGGTAAGAAGACAAAATGGAGGAATTGGACAAAGTCAATGACAATTTCTTTTAAATGCATGAACCCAACATGCAAAAGCTCTGGAAAACCTACACACTATTAGAATACAAGAGAAGAATTAAATGGTAAAGGCATACAAATATTTTTAATAAAACTATAGAAGAAAATGTCACAAATCTGGGGTGGGAAAGGCCATCCTGTAGTGGTTAGCTGTCTGTCAATGACCTTGAAGCACCACCCCTAGAGATGCAGCAGGTAACTCCTCAATCTGCCTATGCTTTTGAAAAACATGCCACTTGCAGGGCCATATCATGCAGTACTGTGGCTCCCGTACTGTGGTTCCTTTGCCATGTAGTCTGCTGGCATTTTCATTTTGATTATTCTTTTCTTTCTTTTTTTTTTTTTCTTTTTCTTTTTAGACAGGGTCTCACTACATAGTCTTGGCTGGCCTGGAGCTCACTCTGTAGACAAGGCTGACCTCAAACTAATTGAGATGTGCCTGTCTCAGCTTCCTAAAAGCTGACATTAAGGAGTTCTCCACCTCACAAGACTTTCTATTCTTTTTTGCAAATACTGGTCAAAGTCTCGGCATGAGTTCCTTGACACTGTGGTTTTCTTTTCACTTTTCCTGAACCTGCCCTCACCCTTGCCATGTGGTACTTGTCTTCCACTGCTGACCCTGGTAGCTTTCTCAGATACTAACTTTAAAGGGCATGTAGTTCTCTCTTCTTTTTCTTCTCCCTCCTCCTAGCAGATGCCAAGACTTACAGCTTGCCTGCTCTGTTGTTTTTCTCTCAATCTCTATTTAAAAAATTTCTTCAAATTTTCATGCTCCAAAAAGATTAATAATATTAACACCCTTAATATCATATAGAAAAAGAATGTTTCATTTCTGTATTCCATATCTTACACCTGTCATCGCTCTGTGTGTGTGTGTGTGTGTGTGTGTGTGTGTGTGTGTGTGTGTGTGTGTGTGTGTGTTTGGGGGCAGGGGTACTCAAGCATGTGCAAGTGTGCTGAGGCCAGAGGTTGCTGCTGGAACTCTTCCACAATCACTCTCTACTTTGTATTTGACCCAAGGTTCTAGAGATTAACCTCAGATTCTTCATGCTATGTGACAAGCATTTTACTGTCTTGAGCCATCCTGCCATCCCTTTATTCCTCTCATCTTTAGCATATGGCTAGGATGTCCAAAATTACAAAAGCACATGAAAAAAGTATATTTTCACAGTTCATAAACTCTCAAGGAAAATGAAAAGCTAGCTGAAACCACAGTAAGACACTACCAATGTTAAAGTGCAAAACTCTAAGTAATACATCTCAGAAGTAAAGTGGGAAATGCAGAAGAAAGGATGTACTTTTAAGAAAAAGATCTGGAGCAAATAAATAATACAGTTAATATTATCTGAGACACAATAACTGACTTCACTGACATAGTGTAACTGCTTACTGGACTTGAGTCTTCAGGAGTGAAATTACCCAGTTTGGTTTGTCTCTGTAATTAAAACCGATAACCAATAAATTTTAGCTGTTTTCTCAGCTTTCCTTCATGCAAGTTAATAATAAGGTTAGGTGGTAGAACTTAGTTAAAAATGAACTTTTATTATAAAAGCTTTATTATGCATATATTTATATTAATTAAGACACTGGTGAAACTAATAACATTACCATTTTAAACATTTATTTCTTGAAATTATGGGTTTTTGGAAAGTCAGGTGTCCACATTTTTCAAAAAAAAAAAAATACATCCATGTAAAGGGCACCCCACTCACTCACATGGTAATAACAGATTCCTCTGGTGTGTACCTAACATAACATGCAAATGGGTTGGGGGGTATGGCTCAATCACAGAACACTAGCTTAGCTTGCTCAATCACCAGGTCAGTTTAAAAAACAGGCTTGGAAGGAGATCAGGCAGCAGGGAGGAACTTAAGAGCAAAGTAACATGCAACTAAGGAACAGTCAATTTGCTTTGATTTGTTTCTCTGTCTATTTCTTGGTTAAGAGTAAAAAGATATGCTACAAAAAGGGCTATATATGTATATTCAAGCTATTCAGGAGGCTGAAGCAAGAAGATACCTTGAGCAGGGTATTTCAATGCCAGTCTAGGCTACTAATTAGACCACATAAATAAACACATACATTCACAGACAAAAGAAAGAGATAACAGTATTTATGTTAAAAGAAAATCAACCTGAAATACAACTTGAGGTGTATTAATTCATCTTTATAAACTATGTAACATGAGCTGCATAATATTTTTCATCACAGCAAATTTTTTCCTTACCTGGATCCAATAAAATGCTATCTTTCCCCAGACTTTTCTTTTCAAGGTTATTCAAAATGAAATCTTCTTGAAAAACATGAAGCAACTGGGTTTTTCTGCCGTGCTGAGATAAATAAATACCAACATAAATTGACATATATATCTGTGGGGTCCCTGAGCCTTAATTCCTGTTCAGGGCATCATCTGTGGGGGTCCCTGAACCTAAGTCAGGACAGCATTTGTGGGAGGCCAGCTCCCACCTTTTAAAGGGTTCCTATGAGGAAAAGAGATGAATAAGAAACTTTTAGATAGAAAGATAGCGGAAAGGAGACAGAGAGAAACACAAGATAGCTTTGGGAGGACCTGGATCAAAATCCACAAGCCCCTTCTGTCTCTTCAAAAGGGCTTTTGATAACAATGCCAAGGGGTGGGGCAAAAGACTTCCCCCTTGCTAGATCAAAGCATACTGCACAGCCAAGTGTAGACTCTTCCAAACACCTGGTAACCACGCCCGTGGTCCAATCATTCCCCTATGCAGCCCTGGTGGGTAAAGCAAGCTCATATCTCACCAGGAAACCTCTGTGATGAGTCTCTATATATGTCATCTACCTAATGCTAAATAGCAGAAAAATAATACTTACAAGCTTGGTAATGGGATCTAATGCAATAATGCAGCCTGGCCTGGCTGTTGATTGCTGACTGACGATGTTAAACACTTCACCAACATATTTCTGTTAAAAAAAAAAAAATCCTTTAGTAAATAAATTCAAAAGTAACTTAAAAATATGAAATATTTCAACCATAATTAAGATAAATAAGGAATTCAAGTAGGTCTAAATAGTTTCTTTCAACTATAAACATTATAGGATTTTACCTTAATAGAAATCACACAGAAATGAACACAATTACAGCACAGAGGGGTAAGAAGGCAAGCTCAGCACCTCAGGGGAAAGTATTTTATAGCAACCAAAGTGAAAGACTGCCTTCAACTTTCTGGATATATTCTAAGCAATGCTTTTAAAGTATCAATCTTTCAGAATATCCTATTATTTATTCTGTTGTTATACTGAGAATGAAACTCAAGGCCTTGTGCATGCTAAACACATGGTCTTTCACTGAGCTACATCCCCTGACTAAGAGTCTCCTTATTAGCCATCATAAGGATAGTTTCTCTACCTAGATAAACACTCTATTTGAATTTCAAGGTAATTTGTGTGTGTGTGTGTGTGTGTGTGTGTGTGTGTGTGTGTGTGTGTGTGTGTGTGTGAG